CAAAAACAAACCTGTGTGTGTGTGTGTGTGTGTGTGTGTGACTTTGTTTGTGTCTGTAGAGATTTCTTTGCAGCTGCTGATGTAACTATTGTGGGTCATCATCCTGTATTCCCTACTGACTCCAATATTGAGAGAAATGTGCTAAATAACAAACATAAAGTACAGCTACAGACAGGTTGTTGCATGTATGATCTGTAATCTCATGTCCCAAAACATTTATATATAAAACATATATAAAAGTATTTTGTCAATACAAAAATTATGATTTAATTCCTGTATTTCTAAGATTTAAAGAGCATAAAAAAATGAAATAGTAATATATAATTGGCAAAATATATTAAAAATCATTGCATTAAACACTGAATCGATATTCTAAGATAATACACTTTGATAATTCAACACTAAGATAATACAACTTTGACAGACCTAAAAATAAAACAATGCTCTTATCATATAGTGTATATTAGGGATGGTGAAAGGTTTTTGCTGTTTAATATTTTTGTGGAAACAATACTATTCACAATTCATGATACAATACTATTTTACAGTGTGGGCCACTGTTCTAATGGTTATTTATATAGCAGTTCATATATTCATTATAGCAAGGATGCATAAAATTCATTGAAAGTTACAGTAAAGATATTTATAATGTTCTTTTGAACTTTCTATTCATCAAATAATACTGAAAATATGTATCGCTGTTTCTACAAAAATATTAAGCAGCAAAAACTGATTTCAACAATATGTATCGCTGTTTCTACAAAAGTATTAAGCAGCAAAAACTGATTTCAACATTGACGAAACTAATACTAAGTACTAATAATATTTGATAATAATTGAGCACAGGAATAAATTACATTTTAACATTTAAATGGAAAACAGTTATTATAATTTATAAATTGTAAAACTGTTAGACAATATTACTTTTTAAATTTATTTTTGAAGCCTTGATGAGCATAAAAGAAAACAGAAAATTACTTTCAAAAACATAAAAAAAAACGTAATATTCCAAACTTTTTGTGTAAGGATGTGTGTGTGTGTGTGTATCCAGAAAATATTCAGCTCATTTAGTAAAATATTCAGTAATAAATATTCAGCTCAATCTTTATCTGTAAAAGTGAGGCTCTTTAAGATAAGATATACGGATATAGATATACGATATAATGATAGTTGTACACTGCTCGTAGCTAATTGTTTTGAGGTTAGATGTGCAGTTCCCTCCAGATTTGAGTGATAGGTGGTCCATTTTTACTGATGAAGTGGTCCTTCACCTGACAAAAATGACTTTAACTGCTCTAAAGGCATTTAAGGATTTCTTTCTTCTCACATCCTGTGAGTCCACAGCATTCCCAATCCACTGAAAAGAAAGAGGATTTCCGAACAGTTTCCTCCACTCAGGCTTTAAGGGTGACCTGCGCTCATCCCTTGGCCGTATTTCCCACTCACGTTCTCCATTTTCTTTTTCTGTGCTTGTCTCTCTCACACACTTGTTTGGCTCAGAGGGGCCTGTGATCCAGAGCCGCTCTTATTTCAGCCCATCTGAAGTGATTACCTTTGCCTGGGATTCCACCCACCCCCACCGGTCCCCTGGGGAGCTACGGCAGGCAGACGGCTCTACTTTATTTCCTCCGCCTGCTTCGTGCTGTTCCTCAGCAGAACCCTGCTGCTGGTACAGCTTAGCGGGGTTGGAGTGGAAATTATCTAGAGATCAGCGTCAGTGAAGTAGCTCACATTAGTTTTAGTGACAGTTCAACACGGGGCACACAACGTAGAGCTAAGTGGTAATTATGAATCAACATGACATTCATTTTTTTTTATGCTGTTGTTTCTTAGACAGGTGTGACAATGCATGGAAACCTTGTGTCGGATCATTTCAGAGTGGCTTTAATTGAAGTAATGGTCTGTTTGGCTGTTATTCCACTACCCACAGAATCAATAATTAAGCGCTTTTGTCTCTACACACTGCAAAAATATCATTTTCTGGAAAAAATAAATAAACTAAAACAAGATACACTACCATTCAAAGGTTTGGGCTTGGTATGGTTGTTTTTATGTTACTAAAGTCTCCATATGTTCACCGAGGCTGCATTTATTTGATAAAAAATACATCAAATTTAGAAATATTGTGAAATATTTTTACAAATCAAAATAACTGTTTCCTATTTTTGTATATTTTAAAATGTAATGTATTCCTTTTGATGGCATAGCTGAATTTTCAGCAGTCTTCAGTGTCACATGATCCTTCCGAAATTTTTATATGCTGATTTAATGCTCAAGAAAATTGTCTTAATTATTATCAGTGTTCAAAGGAACAGCATTTATTTGAAATAGACTTTATTTAACAATGTAAACGTCTTTACTGTCACTTTTAAACAATTTAATGCATCCTTGTTTAATAAAAGTACTAAATAAACAAATAAAATCTTACTGACCCCAAATTTTCAAATGGCAGTGTACATTTACAGGACCTAAGAAGCAAAATAGCTTAATATCAAGGATGTTATGACTTGTTTTAAGATAATATAAATTGAATTTATCCTTGTTTACAGCAGCAAGAAGAACTTAATTCAAAATGTGTTCTCTTTATCTCTATATCAATTTAGCTTCTTCAGTAATGCATCTTATTTAATGATGTTTATTTATTTTTTTATTTTTTTTACTGGAAAACAAGATAAAAGTATTGATTTAAAAATGACTTTTTGCAGTGCATCGACTGAATTGAAGAGATATCACTTAAGAAGATGTCTTAATCCACATGCGTGAGGAGAATTATCTACGATTAAAACTTTGTTGAGAAGAGGTGCTCATATTCAGCTCAGCTTTGATATCTAATCTGAAGAGTGGAAAAGTTCAGTCTGTTTTGTTGATGCTGCCGACAGCTTCAGCTGTGAAAATGGGAGCGTGTCTGATATTTCTCCTGCTCACTGCTTCGCCTTTTGTCTGTGACAAGCTTGAACTCTGGCTCTCATTGCAGTCAGAGAGTGTATCATTTCTAAAAACAGGCTTAAATGAAGCACAAAAGAGAGAGAAAAGAAAAATGAGGAACTACAGAACAGAAGTTAAGTAAATTAATTAATAATATCTCACATTCTCTCTTTTTTTGAGATCGTATCTGTCCTCAGATGTGTAAAAAGGAAAACACCATAAGATATGGCTTTAAAGCGCATTATTTCCTGATACTGCTAATTAAACCGCTAGCGTCATTAATTGGTTTGAAGATATCTTTGCATTGAGTTGGAGACATAAGCTCAATTAAAGATAGCTTCGACTCAATTACAGATATCCAAATGCCGTGTCTCACAATTTGCAATCAGGATCTTTTTTTGGTGCAATACCAGATGCCCTATAACACAAAGATTGTGCTCTTTCCACTTCCAAAGTTTCATTTTATCATGAAAAGATTGTGTGCGTGTCAGTGTGCCAATGCGTTGTTTAATCCTGTTCTAGGATAATATATGTGGCTTTATAATATATGTGGCTTTATATATGTGGCTAGGGGTCTAAACAGAGGTTCAGTGGAATTTATTAGTGATTCGTTTGAATATGAGCTGCTCTTTACATGTCTGCCATCGTTTAAGTGATAAGTTGCATGTGTTTTCACAGTTTGTGATGAGTGAGTTGATATATGGCGGGTGTTATTTGCGCAAGCGGTGATGCATTGATCTCCATTTTCTTCACAAAGGGAAAATCAGCTCACTATAGTCCCTGTTAAGTGACTGACCTTATTAAGCGCCTTACATTTCTACAATTGTAGGGCAACCGATTACTTTGCCCTTTTTAAAAAGAAAAAATTAAAAATTAAGAAGAAAAATCCAAACACTTTAAAGGGGTAAATTCCCTAGAGATGGTATCAATCTAACTTTAGAAATGCTCCTCATATTCTGTTTCTTTTGACATTGACTCTATTAATTCTTTTTATCCACAAGACTTGAAATTACTCAGTAAAGTAGATTGTTATCATTGGTTGTACCACAAAGATGTGTTGGCTTGAAAGGGGCAACAGACACACTGTTTATTCAAGATTATCTATGAACCTGAAAACTGAAGTATTAGTTTTCTTTATAGTTGAAACATCTCATCTTCTTAAAAAAAAATAGATGAAGAAACCTTGTGGTTTGGGGGAGAGCAAAGGGTGAATAACCATATCACCTCTTGAAATAGCTATTCTCAATTAGAATGGTTTCATAGAAAAGTGGCAGATGGTGCTATTTACACTATATATGTATTATCCAGTGTTGGGCAGTAACGCATTACTTAGTAACGCGTTAACGTTCGGAACGCGACGCTGTTTGAAAGGGGTCCCTTTTCACTGTTGCACTGTGGTGAGGAAACAGCTGTATGTGTTCCTACGCGTGAAAGTTCCGAAACTAAAGCTGTAGAACTAATAGAATGCGATGACACAGAAGAACTCATCCACAATATCCACATTGACAAATCGGACGCGAGGTCTGACTTTCCCAGAGAAGTGTCGCCTCTCTCGGCGTCTGTTCTGTGCAGTGAGCAGCAGAGACGCAGCGCATTTAGTTGGCCGCACCGCAGCCGACTCGTCAATTGAAAAATACCGTGATATTAATTTTTGGTCATACCGCCCAGCACTATTTAATAGTATTGAATATGTTTGTTTTAGCTTATGTCATTTTCTTTCAGCATCTGAACCATAATTCCAATGCTGTGTTTTGAAGGTCGCTGTGCAAACTGTGGGGAGAATGTGGTCGGTGAGGGAACGGGTTGTACCGCCATGGACCACGTCTTCCATGTGGACTGCTTCATCTGCATGACCTGTGGCTCTAGGCTCAGAGGAAAGCCCTTTTATGCCGTGGAAAAGAAGGCCTACTGCGAACCCTGCTATATCGTGAGTGTAATCCACTCAATGCTCTGCATGCACACACTGTGTCTCGTACACTAATAGTTGAGTACAAGTGTTCTTCGTCACACAAAATATCTACTAGATGCACAACCAGTGGCGACTCGTCGGGGAAGGCAGGGGAGGCACAGCTTCCCCAAAATTTTGAGGTTAAAATGGGAGGAGGACGATTTAATGTTAATAAAATTCACAATTCATTTCAGTTCATGTCTCAGAATGTGTATTTTTTGTTTGTAATTTCACAGCTGTAATACCATAACATGTTAATGAAGTTGGAAAGCGCCGCTTTTCTATCGCGAATGTGCCGAATCTGCTGATGTAATTACAACCGCTAGGTGATAGAGAAGGGGAGGGGGAGGCCAGGGGAGAGCTGAGCTCTTGTGCCTCCGTTGGTAAAAAAAAACTGGCCAATCAGCATCGAGTGTTCACTTTCAGCGCTGAGGAGTGTTGAGAAAAGAACCCTGGCAAGGGAGGCTAGCCTCCCTTCTGGTATATCAACCAATCATCATAGAGACGTAAATTACGTGATATTAGTTTGAACGTCTCCCGCTGCGCTGATAATGTACCAAGTAATTATGATGAGTAGCGATATTGAATATTTGATAGCCAACAGATTTATCAAGCCCAGACCAATACAATCAGTGTGCGTCCTCTATTTTAAACCCCACGAGCCGCCACTGTGCACAACAGGTGTGTGTACATTAGGGGTTGCATCGACTAGTCGACTTCAATGCTCTGCCATGACACTTTAAGCTTGATGTCGATTAGTTGCTGGTCCTATAGAGGGTGCAACAGGATGAGAAATCTTTGAAGGACTTCCACATTTACGCTCCGTTTCCAAACAGTTCAAATGACAAATAAATGCATACTCTGAAAGCGCTCCACAAGACATGTGTGATTATATTACTGGATGCTCGAAATCGAACAGGAGAATGCACTGTGCTACTTTATCTGTATCTGATTTAGAACTATGAGAAATATAACGACCCAAAGACAAAAGAACTGATAAAAATGAGCTGTTATAGGAGCAATAGCCATGTGGGCAGCGCTGTGTCATATGCCATAGCTGTGCACAAGGTGTTTGTCACAGCTCCAGACTTTTTTGTTCATTAATGACGTCATCAGCGACTAGTCGACTTCGACTCGACTTTCATTACATAAAAGTCGACTTTTAAAAATCAGAAGTCGTTCAACCCCTAGTGTACGTATGTAATTTTTACAGTATTTTTTTGGCTTTTTGGCTTTAATACATTAGGATGGTGCACATGTGACAATAATTATTATTTTTTTTAAAGACTGGACTCGAATTTGTGTCTTTGATAGCACAACAGCTCCTTATGTCATGAGCAAAACACTAATTGATCAATTAATTAGAATTGTTTTCTATTTTAATATACTTTTAAATCTAATTTATTCCTGTGATGGCAAAGCTGAATTTTTAGCAGCCATTACTTCAGTTTTCAGTGTCACATGATCCTTCACAAATCATTTGAATATAATATTTTGTGCTCAACATTTTTTATTATCATCAATCTTGAAAACAGTGCTGCTTAAAATTTTTGTGCAAACCGTGTTTGCATTTTTTTCAGAATGCTTTGATGAATAGAAAGTTCAAAAGAACAGCATTTATTTGAAACAGTTTTATTTAGTTAGTATTGAGATACTATTTTTTATGGTTTTTATTAATATTTTAAGATTAATATTTCAGATTTTATTTTATATTATTTTTTTCATTTTAGTTAAAGTTTAGTAATTTTGTTGTCATTTTAGTTGTGTGTGTGTGTGTGTGTGTGTGTGTATTTTTTTTAATTTTTTTTCAGTTTTAGTTCTTTTAGCATGTACAGGTTAAATTAAATTAAAATGAGAATTGTTGTAGCGGAAATAAAATGTTTTTATGTTTTATTTGATTTAATTTAATGATTATTTTAAGTAACACCTTTTTTAATGGTTTTAGTTTTAGTTTCATTTTAGCTTTAGGCAACTATAATAATCAATTTGAAATTAATTATATA